TCTTTTCCAGAAATGCTTTGAGCCCCAGGCCCCATCCTGTGGCCCCCTTCTTGGGCCCAGGACCTGAACTGTTAGTGCATTAGCCCCGACTGAGGCTCCTGTGGCGGCTCGGGGCCACAGGGGCTGCATACTGGCCACAGCACTTGGCAGCCCGCCCCAGAACTTTCTGGAGGAGAGAATGTCACTGTCCCCCAGCTATACAGAAAGGATCTGGAAGCATCCTGTGTGCATTCTCTATGCACGAGGGACTGGGGCGATAGTGCATGTTGCCATGGACTCACGTGTCGGCTGCTGTCTGAGACCACCAGAGAGAGCCGCGGCACGCCGCCATGAAGAGCTAGAGTCCCGGGACTGCACGGGGCAGCCCTGCCCTGCCTGCTGGGTGGAGCCAGAGTTGTCAGGCAGGGAGTTGGAGGACAGTTCCAGTTCACGAGAAGCCACAGTACGTGACCTTGTGCTCCTGCTCCCTGTGGTCTCCCGGGCCGGAGAGCTTGGCAGACGCAGACCCGCCACCCTCTCCCACAGAGGGATGGGTGGCTGCAAACCAGCAACCTTTGGGTAGCAATGCAGTGCTTACTCCCTGCACCACCAAGACTTCTTTACCCAGGTACAGTGTCAGGCTGTGTGCAGCACATAATGTACGGCAGTGCAACTTGTTACTCCAGAAACGGAGATTACGTCATCTTCAGTCATCAGTTACCACCCAGTTGTGAACACTGTGATGTGCGCTCTTCTTCTATGATAGGCACCGTCGCCCTATGGAAGACGCGTCATTAAGTAGTTTAGCTGGCGTACGCTTCACATAACGTGCTCCCAGACGCCTTACCTCGTTTCTCAGAGGGTGCAGTCCTCAAGCCCCGTTCCCCTCCTCACAGGGGGCTTGGGCTGTGAGGCTGGTGGGGGCCGGGCAGTGCTTCCTGCCGTTGTGTGCACAGGGTTGCTTCGAGGTGAAGCCCACTGGCCGGCCCCTGCTAGTAGCAGGTTATGTTCTGTTGTTTCCTGGCTGCTGGCCATTTCAGTTCACGTGTGATACCAGCAGGAACGAAATTCTTTTCTTGCGTGAGTCTAAGTTTTCAAAGCTGTGGTGTCACACACTGAGTTGTGTGTGTATGGGAGTGGGGTGGTTATGCCGATTCTCACCATTCGCCTTATGAATTACTAGGAAGAAGAAACTAGAAGCCAAAGTGAAGAAGCTGGAAGGTAACTAACTGGCTCTCTTATTATTTGGCCCAAGGAAATCGCTTGCAACTGCACAGACAGCTTACGTTTCGGGGTCTAGTGGGTGGGGTCAGTCCTTGTGTCCATGGGGGAGCCCCAGATGCCCTGAGTAAGAGCTGTGCCAGGAATAGGAAGTCGCGGGCTGTTGTGCGCTCTCGTTAGATGCCGGGCCTCCATGCCCACTCAGCCTCATTGTGTTGGTCTGCGTGCCAGCCCCATGCTGTGCACCCCTGTAGGGTTTCGCTCGAATGCTGACATTCGGGGGTCGCTGCATTCAGAGAGGTGGCACACGTTGGCTCTACAAATGTGTAGGATTTGGTCTTGGGGTTGGACCCCCTGGTGCATGCTCCTCTTTGCTAAAGAGAGGTGTAGATGGGAAAGCTCCCAGCCTCTGCTGAAGTGCCAAGGTGGGGCTCCACTGCAGCTTCCCAGGCAGCTCCCTCTCTGCAGGAGAGTGGGGCATATATACCAGGGCCTGTCCATTCTGGTGTCCACACAAGTAGGGCCTCTCTCAGGGGCCTCGGACCATGGACCACAGTGAGCCTACAGCTGAGTGTCTATAGGAATGCATGGTTCCGTCCCTCTGCTCAGACATTGGTGTGAACTGTGAGGGCCTTCGGCACATTTGTAGGGAAGGGGAATTTGCCCATGCAGTTTTTAAAGGCCCTGTGGTTCTCTCAAACTTTCAGGCTGCCAATGCTTGTGACAAGGATGCGCCATGGGGCCTTTGGCCTCGGGTGCCTGAGCCTGGGCTGGGAGGGATTCTTAAGGCTTCTGCCAGTGTTGAGAGTTTGTGATTGGGGCGTTAAAAATGAAGGTGTCCCTATAACCTAGAACTCTTCGGACACGCTGAAGGAGAAGTAACTGAAGAGGGCTTCCTCGATGCTTAGGAAATGAGAAGACCCTTCAACAGTGCAGGTCTTGCACATTGTAAACAGCAGTAATGGAGCTGTTAACACCTCTTTCTCTCTCTCTCTCCATCTCTATATCTATTTCATGGTGCATCGGGGTAAAGAGGCTGCTTTCAAGCAAATCCAGGACTTCAAACAGCTGAGAAATGAAAAGAAAGTGCTGGAGAAGGAATATAAGCAGACACAGGTGATGGATTGCCTTCCAAGGTGCAGGCCCTGTCCTGCTTTCTCTACTTTCCCAGGCCCTGCCAGCCAGCATGCTGATGCCTTAGCTGTCAGAAGACCACACGCCCTATGCCTTGCACAGAGTCGTAGTGCCCACAGCAGCGGTTCTCAACGTGTGGGTCGTGACCCCTTTTGCAGTCAAACGACCCCTTCACAGGGGTCACCCGATTCATAACAGCAAAATTATAATTATGAAGTAGCAACGAAAATAACTTTATGGTTGGGTGGGGGGCACCACAACATGAGGAACTATATTAAAGGGTCGTGGCATTAGGAAGGTTGAGAACCACTGCCCTCCAGGGCTTGCGAGGTGTCCTCTTTGTGGAAGTCCTCGTGTCCTCTGCGGTGGCCAGGCCAGTGGATTCGGACAGGTGACCCTTTGTCGGATTGTAGCTGAGTGTCCCACCCTTGTCCCACCAGGAGGTGCCTCCCTAGTTTGTTGTAACAGCCTCAGTATTTTCTTTAACAGGAAAAACTCGATGAATTTTCCAAGCAAAAACACGACAAGGGTGAGTATTCCGTGAGTGCTCGCTGAAGCTGTGTCCCGCGTGCTGTGTGAGTGTTGCGCTGTTCTAACCCTTGCTCTCCCATGTGTTTCTAGAGCTGAGGCACATTGGCACTCAGATTTCAAGTGATTCCCATGGCAACATAGATAAAAGTGAGTACGCTGCTCTCTCCTGTGATCCTGTGTGTCACTGACACTGGGTTGGGATGGTGCTACTGTTATGTGTGATAGGGACATGTCAGAGCTCCGTCTTGAGGAAACCCATCTGTGTGACCGTGTTCGCCACTGCCACATACATGATTACCATGTACATTAGCCTGTGTATCACCATCTGTATTGCCCCGTTGTTTCGCCATGTATACTACCACGTATGTTACCTTGCATATTGCCACCTATATGATTGTGAACGTTATCACATACAGTGCCATATGCAGGACCATCAGCAGTACTGTGTACATTACCTTGTGTGTGTACTACTGTGCATGCTACCACATACATTATCACCTGTCTCACCATGTACATCACTACCTGCATTTCTGCCAACAGTGCCATGTGTGGTACCATGCATAGTACCATGTATATTACCACACATTGTGTCCATGTGTGTCACCACATGTGACCATGTGCATCGCCATCTCTATCACCATGTATGTCACCACGTATTACCATCTGTATTTACAGGTTATCCTTATACCTAGAAAGTAACAGATTGAGAGTCAACCCCACGAGAAAGGCTGTCTCTGAATGGACAAATGGTTGGTTTAGAGAACTGAGAGTAAGGCTTGCTGTTCAGAGACTACCTACGGAGCAAAAGGGAGAAAACCTGCTTTCTCGCCTCCCTGGGGGCTAGAACCACCAGATGGCTATAGTTCTGTTTCTGTGGAGAGGTTTCCTTGCGGAGATCGCAGCCCGGTGGATGTCCTGAGTTTCCCTGGAGCAAGGGAGAGTCAGGAGGGTAAGTGGGGGGGGGTGTGACAGGCCATCTTCCGACCCTAGGAGGGGTTTGTCAGAAATCATCTCTGCAAGGTCCAGGAAACCTCGTCTGGGAGGTGGAGAGAGAGCCAGGTGGGGTTCGGTTAGGTCGGGTTCCATTAGGTTAGGTCAGGTCTGAGTGCCAACGTGTGGTGTCGGGCCAGAGCTGTGCCCCACAGCGTTCCAGTGCAGCCCACCAGGCATTTGTTCCCAGGGGCAAAGGGCCTAGTTCCTAGAAACCGTCTTCCTGGGGGGTTAGTGCTACACCTGAACAGAAAATTGCTGCAGGAGGCATCTGTAAAAACGCAGGGCTAACAAGGCTTATTGGTGAGCCACGTAAGCCCGTAGTGGCACGTGTGTGTCTTCACAGTGATTGACACACAGTCTGTCCCCATCGCACTCTGAGGCCCTGGCCAAAGCCAGGTGACGCCACCAGTGCAGTTTGTTCACGCAGGCGTGCAGCTGCTCAAGGCCCGAGTGAGACTAAGAAGTGCAGCCACTGACAGCTGAGCGCACAGCTCCGTCGCAGGGTCCATCTATCAGGGACCCAGCATCGGTGTCCATTCCTCACAACCCAAGAGAGCATTCCAGGCTGATACAGTTGCTTTCCCCTCACCTGCAGACGTACTTAAGGTTACTTTCTGACTGCAAGGCCACACGTTTGAAACCGGGAGCGGCTGTTGAATTTGTGGCCGATCCTAAGCCTGCTCTGAGTCTTCTAAGTCCTTTCAAACCCTTGGTCTGGCCAAGCCAGCTGCCCACGGCCACGTGCTTCCTCCTTTTCCTCCTCCCAGGGAAAGTCAAGCTGCTGCTGAAGGAGCTCTGGCTGTGCATCAACGCCACTCAGGGACTCCCAGGCGCAGACCACCTGCCAGGTGAGGACGGATTGGGGACCAGTCTCTGGGAACGCCTGCCTGCCTGCGTGGCCTCCCAGTGAGTCAGTTCATGTGGTTTTCCATGTTTGACAGCAGCTGCCACCCCAGAGAATTCAGAGGAACCTGAAGGACAGACAGCAGAATCGCTCCTGACAGGTACACGGAGGGTGCACGCTCTCTCAGCGCATAGGCAGCCGGTGGGTCCACCTGCCTGATGCTGGCTCCCTCTGCTGGTCATGGGATTCACCAGGTCCTTCTGTTGACTGCAGCAGAGGTGGCACCACGCTGGTTCGTCTGAAGGGCTGTATGGTTGTCAGTGGGGCTTCCAGTGCTACATCTAAGTCCTCAGACAGCTTTTTGCCAGCCCGTTGTTCACATGTCTGTCCTGAGCCAGTGGATCCCCTAGAGCAGCGGTTCTCAACCTTCCAAATGCTACAACTCTTTAATACAGTTCCCTATGTTGTGGTGACCACCCCCCAACCATAAAATTATTTTCGTTACTACTTCATAACTGTAATTTTGCTACTGTTATGAATCAGGTGACGTGTGAAAGGATTGTTTGACCCCCAAAGGGTCGCGACCCACAGGTGGAGAACCGCTGCCCAAGAGCTTCCTGGAATGAGGGAGAGCTTGTGGAAAGACCACACTGGGAGCCACTGAGAATGTGGCAGGTGATGGGATTTAATTTTAATGAAAGCACCTTTAAAGAGCCACACGGGACTCATGGCTGCCCGACTGGCCCACAGTTCTAACCAGCGTTTATACAAGGGGCGGGTTCCAAAACGTTCGTAGACAATGGGATTAAAATGACGTGACCTTTCTCCTGAGCTGGTTTGAAGCCTCCTTTTATTAGGTAGGACCTACGTGCTGGGGCCTCAGGCACCTGGATCGCCCGTCCTCCTGTTAAAGGTGAAACCTGAAATAAGCCAGTGGGCTCTGGACTTGCGGTGACCCCACGTGTGCAAAGGAACTCCCTCGAGTTTCCCAGCTGTGCCCTCCCTGCCGGAGTGCATCATTGGCCTCTCTGCTTCCAGGGAGATGGGAGATGCACTTTGATGCTGACAACCAGCCCCTCCCTTGGAGTTTGGCATTTCTGGCCTTGTAAGCCCTGGTCGTCTGGTTCCAATGGCCAGTGCCCATCCATTTCAGTCACTAACTGCCTTCGATGTTGATCTTTTTGCTCTCTGTTATTTTTGGCAAATTTTAATTCCCGACTCATACTTGGTACATTCCCCATTTTGGTTATTAATATGTGCTTCCAGCTGGTTCTTCTAAATTTGGGTAGTGCCCTGAGAGCAAGTAAAGGCCCCTACAGCTCTGGTCCTTCCACGACTTTATAGGTGATAATACCTCGAGGAGGCAGTCTTTCCAGCCTGAGGGCTCATCCGCCAGCCCATGTCAGGAAGCTCTACCTCTCTGACGGTTTCCAACGGCCCCTCAGTAGTGGACCGCCTCTTTCTTCTTCCTGGTCTGCCTTAATTGGATGCTTCTCTGAAACCTGTTCACCTTGTGTGGGGGATGATTCTGCAAAGAATTGGAATGCCGGAAGCCTTGCCACCGCAGTGCGACCCAGGGACAGACTAGCCAGTCCCACTCCAGTAACCGCTACTGGTTGTGCATGGGGATCCTTGGCGGTGCGGTGGCTAAGGCTTGGACGGGTAACCGAAACCTCAGCGTTTAAGCCGGTACCCCCTGCACAGGAGCATGGGGGCGCCCTGGTTGCTCTGCAAAGGCCTGCATTCCTCAGAACCCTAGCAGGTGTGCTGTGCCCATGCTGTGGCAGCGAATTAGGGGTTGACTCAGCAGAGGCTTCAGGGCTTGTGACTGAGCACCTTGTCGTGCTGGCGGCCGTTTGAATGGCATCCTTCGTGACATCGGGTCCTTTGCCCGGTTTTAGACTGGGCGGTTTGTCTCTGTTACGCTGTAGCGTATTAGATGCATGCTGTCCATCAGACCCTTATTAGTTTAGACTTCCCATAATTCTCTCCTCATCTTGTCCTTAAAAAAAAATTCCCATTTAGCATTATGCACATTAGGATGCATTTATAATCCTGTAAATGTCTGCGGTACTCATGGTTTCTTCTAACCCTACCTGTGTAGACAGATGCAGAGAGCCTGTGGAAGCCGGCGGGTTGTCACCCCTGCAGTACGGTCCCCCCGGGACACCTGACACGCAGATGGGTCCAGCCAGCACACCAGCCCTGGACATACGAGGTGACTTCTCTGCGTATGAAGACAGTGTCGGCAAGGAGTGGCCAGGGCAAGCAGGGTCCTGGAAGAAACCCAGCCCCCCTGAGGCCTCGTTGCCCTGGCCGAGTGACGAGGACCAGAGCGTGGACTTTGCCCATCACGACCCGTCTTTCGATGAGGACCTGCAGGCGGCCATTAACTTCTTCAAGCTCCCCCCGCCTCTGCTGTCTCCAGTGCCCTCACCCCCTCCAGTGCCATCACCCCACGCGGGGCTCTCCCCTGCACGTGCACCCGTGAGTTCGGCCTCTCGCACAGTGTGTTGTCTGTCCTGGACTGCCGGCCACTGGCCCAGGCTCAGAGCTGAGTGGGGCACCATGAGGGACGTCAGAAAGTTCAGGGGAAAATCCAGTCTGTTCAGTCATTTTCCCGGGCACTTTAAGCAGCCCCTCATTTGTGTATTGGGTTCTTTCACTAAGGTGTGGTTGTAAGGAGTTCTGGGAGTGCCATGGGCTGCACGTTGGGATGCTAACCACAAGGTCAGCAGTTCAAACCCACTGGCCTGTTGTACAGATTAGAGCCTAGGAAAGCCCGGGCAGAGCTGCCCTCCCCTCAGTGGACCCCAGGGCAGTGGGTGTTTTTATTTATGTGTTGTTGTTGGGCTGCCTTTTGCTTTTTCCCGTAAATCTTTCCTACTGTCCATTCCGAGTTTCTGGTGTGCGGATCCAGGTGAGTTTGGTTCCACCACCCTGGTCTCTGGTGCCCCTTGGCCTGGAGGAGATGTGGAGGGAATGTGTCAGAGGGCAGTTTTGTGGGCATAGCGTCTCTCAGAGGCAGGGAGTCCTTGTGTTTGACTCTGATGGGTGTGTGTGTGTGTGTGTGTGTGTGTGTGTGATTTTCTTAGCAGTTCAGTGACTGGCACAAATCCAGACCCATGGGGGGTGGTTCTTGGCAAGTTAGTCCATGCCCATGAAGTGACAGTGAGCGAGGTCCAGACCTCTGTGTGTGTGCGCGCACTCATACACACTTGGAGCAACTTGGGCTTGCTGGCTCAAAGCCTTCTAGGCACCCTACTGGGTGGGAGGAGTAGGTGTGGCTGGCTGGGGGCTGAGGAGAGGATAGGTGGTTGCTCAGCTGTGCTAGCCTGAGCAGAGGTGAGTCCACAGGTAGGGTGAGTGGAGGGCAGTACTGCTGTCCATTGGAGAGGCAGGGCAAGCTGTCATCTTAGCCACAGGCACTGGACACTGCAGAGATGAGGACCAGCTGGTCACGTGCTCAGGGAAATGCACTGGCACAGCCAGCTCGATGGGAGAGGGTGGGCTGGGAAAGGCCAACCCATGGACTCCATGGGCATGTGGACATGGAGCCCAGCAGTTGAAGAAGTGGGAACTGGTTGCCAGGGTGCTGTGAGGTCCTCGAGCAGCCCTGGGGGCCGGCTGGCTCTCTAAGCTCAGTCAGTGAGGTGAGGCTTGGGGAGATGCAGGAGGCCGTGCTCACATAGGCAGCACAGGAGACCCTGCTGGGTGGGCAGCAGGGTGTCGTGATTTCACGGTGACAGTGGGAGGACATCGTGTTTGGGATAGAGCGGAAGGCCCTCCAGGAGATGGACTGACACAGTGGCTGTAACCCCATTCGTATGGTCACTGCGTGTCAGAACCAGCTTGATGGCACCTAACACCGGGTTTGTGGATGGGGCTAGGCAGGATGTGGTGGTGGGAGGGGAGTTTCCAAGTGGGACTAGGCAGGATGTGGTGGTGGTGGGCTCTGGGAGCCATGGCTGTTGCGGTTTAGAGCTGGTACGTTGCGTGCTAGGAAAAGGAAGATCACCCTGGTCCTCAGCTGCTGGAATTTGGCTGGTGTCAGGGAGAAGCAGGCTTCTTGGGGAAACTCCCAAACCACACCCGCTGCCATCGGGTGATCCCCACACAGGGTGGCTGGGGCCAGCATTGAACTGCCCATGGCTTTCCATGGCTAAATCATCAGGAAGCAGACGGCCACTTTCTCTTACTCGGCTGTGGGTTCAAACCGCCTACCTTCTGGCTAACAGTTCAGCTTGCTACTCTGTGTCACCAGGGCTCTCGGAGCTGGGGAGTGGGGTGGGGGGTGTTCTCGGGCAGCCTGCAGCTTGTGTGTGCACACTCCACTGATGGCGGGGCACTGCGTGGTGCACTCTGCGTGGTGCACTCGTCTGATGCCTGCTCCGCCCCATCTCTTCTGCAGGGGGCCGACTTCGGGGCGTACTCCGACTCCAGTGAGGAGGGCTCGGGGCAGCGGCGGCACCTGGCTGGCTCCACTGCAGAAGATGATGCCACCGAGCCGCAGAACTACTTCATGAGGAGTGAGGGGAGCTGCACCCTGTTGGAGCCACCCGCGCCCCAGGAAGTGCTGCCGGCGCCCATCTCATCTGAGGAGAATGGGCTAGCAGGGCTGCCACAGCTGCCTGCTGTAGCTGCAGAACCACTGAGGCGAGAGGCCGCGACATCCCCACGTGCCCCACAGAGAGGTGCTGCAGGGTGGCAAGCAGAGGCCAGCGAGCTGGAGAAGGCTGTGCAGACCGAGGACGCAGACAAGGCCGTGCAGACTGAGGACATGGCGCTCGGAAGTCCCCGTCGACCCGTGTGGCCTCGCTCACCTCCCCTCAGCCAGAGGCCTTTGCGGGACCTGCTTGAGTCTGGAAAGAAGACCCTCCTGTCCGAGCTGACCAGGCGAGCTCTGGGCAGTGAGATGGCGTCAGAGTCAGACCGCGTACGAGCCATCTCAGAGCTCTTCCACCGAGTGTCCTGCGAGCTGGAAAAGGGGGCCGAGGGCAGGCAGGGGCTGGGCTGCAGGGGGACACCCGAGTCAGACGAAGGCTCAGGGCACGTGGCGGGGCTGGATGTGGACATGGACATGGATATGAGCATTTCACCCTCCTCTCCCTCGGGAGCACTGTCTCTCTGCAGTGCACCCCAGTCATCGGACGACGAAGACATGCCAGTTCCACCCACAAGAGCCCTCCCGGAAGAGCCTTGTGCCACACAGAGAATGGCCCTCTCGGGGTCCAGCCTGGGCAGCCTTCAGCCGGAGATCCCGCCCCAGTGCTCCGTGGGGGGGAGCGAACTGGACAGCAGCGGCCACACTCTGAGCCCCAAGATGGGGGCCGCTCGTCTCCACAACCCAAGCGGCCGCTTGCGAGAAGGGACAAACGTGGTAAGGGAGATCCGTTCGCTTCTTCAGCCCACGTGTTTGAAAGCTGCAAGGGACAGGCCCTGTGAGCACAAAGTTGCCGGCTCCGAGTGCCCGATCCACATGCTGGCCCCTTCCCGGGCGGCGGCTGCTCACAACCCGTCCTGGCACCATAGTGATTTCCTGAAGAGAACCGTGGAAGGGAGCCTGAAAGCTGCTTTGGATTGCGGGCAGGAGGCCACCTCATCCCTGGAAACCCGAGGCTCCACACCCACACCTGAACCTCCTCCAGACACCAGCCGCCCCGGGCAGGTTAGGCCTGCCTCGCTGCTGCTGCTGCCTAATCAAGTCTCTGTCATTACCACACAGGCCAGACTCGAGAACATCCCAAGTGCAGCCTCCGGACACCTCCAGCTGCAGGGGAGGGAGGCCCCACCAGCAGCAGAAAGCCCTAGGGCCAGTCCTGACTCCCTGGCCCCTGCACCTGCGCCCACACCTGCTCCTGCACTGGTGCCAGCACCCCCACCAGCTTCTGCACCCATGCCTGTGCCCTGGAATGATGGAAGGGAGCCTCCAAAAAGTCAGGAGGCAGCCTCTACACCTATTGCTTCCCCTGGGGGCTCCACCCCCCAGCCACGGTTCAATTCGGATTCTGATAGTAGCATTTTGCTAGGAGAAAACTCTCCTTGTTCCATAAGCAGTAGATTATCTTTCTCTCTTGAAAACCTCCCAGCCCTGAGTCCAGACCAGGAGGAACTGCAGAAACAGAGACAGTCCCCTCTTGAGCCCCTAAATCCAGAGGTGCCCGGAATGGCCACATCGCCCACTTCCTCCAGTGAGCTGCCCTGTGGGGACTTGGGCTGCTCCAGCAGCCAGGCCCCAGCTGCCTCGGGTGGCATTCCTGGTCCAGCACAGGGCCGTGACGGGTCTCCACGGCCGGGCTCCAGTGCACCGACTGCTGTGTTTTCTGAAGACCTGGCTTGTGCGGGACACACTGCGGCACTTGTGCAGGAGGAGGAGGAGGCCCGTGCGCTCAGCCAGCATCGTCCCCTGGAGCCCCCATGCTGCTACACAGGCCTTCGAGAGAGAGCCGTGGAGGACACGGAGGGCGAGGGTCTCAGCTGTAGCGAGGGCGAAAGCGAGGCCGGAGCCCTGCTGGGTGCTGGAAAGCCAGGCATGGCAGGCGCAGCCCCGGCCGAGGCAGCGGGCGCCCCTGTGCCTGCCAGCCAGCCTTGTGTCGAAGTGGGCCACCTGACCTCCGCTCTGCAGGAAGTGAACATCAGTGCCCTTTCAGACATCGACCAACTCTCCACATCAGAGGTCGTCCGCTTCCTGGAAAGTTGTCAGTTAAGGGATTACAGCTCAGGGGACTCCTTTTCAGAATGTTCCAGTAAAGGAGTCCTGAATCTGGAAGGGGCCAAAGAACTCCGAGAAGGTGAGGTGTTGGGTGAGCAGAGCAGCCCTCCACCCGGTGGAGAGGAGGGTCCTGCAGAGCCACCCAGCTCTGAGGAGGAGGGGCTCCCCATGTGCGCTTCGGATACCCTGTCCGAGGTCCTCACCAGCATCCTGCCCGAGCTGCACGGTCAGTATGGGGATGCGGCTGCCCACGCCTCAGTTGAGGCGCTGACACCAGACACATCCCAGGCTATGGCTGCCCCGCAGGAAGGGGTGGCTCCTGCACAGCCAGCAACTGTTCCCCTTCAGAAACCTGCAGCTTCTCTGCAGGAAGTGGGGGCAGCTCTCCCACAGGAAGCTGTTCCTCCCCCACAGGAAGCAGTGCTTCCCCCACAGGAAGAGTCGGCAGCTCCCCTACAGGAAGAGGCCGCAGCTTCTACTCAGGAAGAGATGGCAGCTCCCCCAGAGGAGGAGGTCGCCGTAGCTCCGCCTAAGGAAGAGGCGGCAGCTCTCCCACATGAAGCGGCTCACTCCCCCTCCCATTTGGTAGAGCTGCCACCATTGGCAAGCCTGGGCCCCCCGAGCAGCCCTCTGGCCAGTGGTGGGTCTGATGGTGAGGGCGGTTTGGACGCTCCTGGAGACTCGCTGCTGTCGGCAGTGACCTCAGAAGTGATCAGCGTGCTCATAAATACAGGCCACAACCTAGTGATTGGTAGCGGGGACCAGTGGACAGTCATAAACAGCGTGGCAGTCCTGTCAGGCCTGGACCAGGTCTTGCTGTGTGACACCTCTGGGGACCCCACTATTTCTCCAGATCAGGAAGGACTGGAAGCTGGTTTCTTAACTATTTCCCCTGTGGAGAAGGACCCAGAAGGCCTTGGGACTGGCTCTCCAGCAAAGGAGCCTGGGTGCAGCAGCCCCCAGCCCTGTAGCCAGGAGGTGGCAGCCAGCACCGGACCAGGTGCCAACTTCGACAAGAGCCGTCTGCGCCTCCGGCCTGTCCGGCCCAGTGTCCGCATCAATGCGCAGATCTATAGCCCGGACTTTGAGTCTCAGGCCGTCGCGTCTGACCACACATACTATAACACCAGGCTTGAGCCTAGTGGCAGGAATAAGAACCGATCCAAGGTTCCCATCAAGGATCAGCCAGCCAAGGCAGTGAAGGCTTCAGTGCCCAGCAGGGCTGATGGTGCCCTGAGTGACACTGCTCCTTTGTCGTTGTCGGGGGAAGTGGTTAGTTCTAAGCCTCAGAAAAACCCGGCCCAAGCAGTCATTGCCAATGCAGACACTTCCACTCCACCCGAGGGATCCGCCCTACCTGAAGCCGCTTCTGACGCGTTGAGCAAAATTCGGCAGGAGGTGGGCCCCCCGCTGCCCCCACTTCTGGCACCCCTGATTGCGACCCCGCCCAGGACTTCACAGCCGGTTTCTCCGCCGCAGTCAAGCTGCAGCCCCTCCTCACCAGCCTCCCCCATGGCATCGCCCCTATCCGGAGCGGCCCGGCCCACCCCTCCGACCTTAGCCTGTCTGTCACCCTGCACAGCAGAGGCCGGGGAGAGGGGGGTGCATTCCCCGCTGCAGTTCTGCGCCGCAACACCAAAGCACGCGCTCCCTGTGCCTGGCCGTCTTCCCCCCATGGCACCCAGCCCCACCACACTGGGGGGTGCCCAGGAGAGCTCCGTGAAGATGCTGGACACTATGTACCCAGAGCTGTCTGCCCGGGCCCGTACCCTGCACATCCTCAAAGGGGGCCTTCAGCTCAGCGGCGGGCCGTCCGCCGAGGCCAGCACCCTGTGTGGCCCCCTGGCCGCTGCCGCCAGCTTCAAGGCCATCACCTCTGAGTCCACTGCTTTTGTGAAGCCCGGGGGTGGTGCCGCTACGGATTGCAGCCAAGAGCAGTCAAAGACCTCAGGCACCCCCCAGGATGCTGGCGCCAAAAGGACACTGTCCCTGGTCACACTGCGCAGCGCTAAGAGGCTCCGCCTGGACATTGGGCCCCTCACTTCAGAAACCAGGGGCGCAGGGACAGAAGGGGTGGGCCGAAGCCTCCGCAGGACCATCCCGCCAACCCAAGCAATGCCAGCCAACGGGGAGGGAAGCTGCTTTGTGGCGGCAGCGGTCCTTGCGGCTCCCCAGTCACGCTCCAACCCAAGAGAAACTGTGGAGTCACATGACAAAACCATCGCCAACGCACTGAGGAAGCTGGAAGAGGCGTCCTTCGACCTGCTGCCTGTCATCCGGAGCCATGTCTATGTCGGGAACATCTCCAAGAAGCCCGTCATGAGAGACCAGGAGAAAGAGGTGGTCTACGAGTTCAGCACCGCCAAAAAGGTAGGTGCCGTGCTTTGCGCTGCTTGGGTGCGCTAGGCGTGTTGGGTCATTACAAGCTGCACTGCTGCCGCCTCCGGGACGGGCTGACTGGAGCACCACACCGCTCGCTCGAGGTGTTCAGGAAAGTCACACGCTGGGGCTAAAGTGGCCTGTTTCCCACCGATCCCGGTGGGTGTTTGAGGTTCAGAATGACTTGTCCCCGAGATGTCCCTCCCTCTCAGGAGGCTTCACTGAGTTGCAGGCCATCCCTGTCACTGCAGGCGACCAGCCTTGTAGCTGGTCCTGACCCTTTTGGTCACTTGAACAGACCCAAGTTTTAGCCCGAACGGGAATTGCTGCAGGCTGAGGCTTTGCAGCTGGAAACTGTCCTGCACAAAGGGAAGCAGAGCAGGGACCTGAGCACCCGGCAGCCAGACTCCCGCTGTCAGACTTGGAGCCCCAGGGACTCGGGCAGAAGTGGTCTGGGTGCTGGGCTCTGCCAGAGTGTGCTCCCCTGGGGTGGGCGCCTGAGGGGCAGAGTTCATGGTGCCTCTTCAAAGCGTCCTGTTGCTGGGCTTCCGCCTGCCAACTGCTGCTGTTCCTGGTGGTACGCAGTTGTTAGACACCGCCTCTGTGGCTTCTGCATCAGCCCCTGCTTAGCCTCTCTGAGGATGAGTAGGAGCTGTCCTGAAGTTTAGAGTCCCACAAAGAAGTGCTTAACACCCACCCCTTCCACCGGAATTTGTCCTTGATTCATACATCATGTGGGGGGAGGGGGGGCGGCAAGTATTGAGGATTGGGGCTGGATTGTAAAGATCTACCTAAGATAGTGGGAGACCTTTTGTAGCCCTGTGGTTTCTGAATGAACCCCTTGACGTCTGGTATGGATGACGCCGAGGCCAGTGGCTCCTGCTGCGTGCTTACCTTACGGCCTCTCAGCCCGAAGGGTATAAATACCTGCCTCTGACAAGGAGGCACATTCTCCCAACAAACCAAAAACTAAAACAACAGCAAAAGCCTCACTACCATCTGAGCCGATTCTAACTCAGGGTGACCCTCTAGGACAGGATAGATCTGCCTAGCACCTAAAGCTCTCTTCTTGGTCAAGAGAAATGGTACCCAGCACGGGAAAAGCCTCCATAGTGTGGATGGGGTGTGTAGAGTGGCTTGGATTGCACAAAACAGACAACGTAGACCAGCAAGATCACCTTAGCCCAGGACATTACATTCTGGTCCCCAGTGCCGTTCCAGTAAGCTATTGGATGTACCCAGACTTACCCTGTGGCCCTGCAGGCCTACAAACGTGGCACTGACCACAGCTGGGAGGTGGTTGCCATCGGGACTCTGTGTTCCCAGGAAGTGTGAGCTGCCCTCTTCCATTGGATGGCTGTTCTTAGGCATTGGTGTCTCTTGGGGAGGCCCACGGTGAAGTGCCTACTCAGCATTGTCACCCCAGCCTCATGTTCCATTTCCCTCCCCAGCACCTGGCCGAGTGCTTCCTGCACTCGATCCTCTCGGAGCTGCACCTTCAGAAGAGCTCGGCACAGCACTGCTACCTGCACGCTCTCTGCAGGGTCTACGTGGGCATCTGCCGGCAGCTCGGAGACCTGGAGAGAGCACGCATGTTCTGCTACAGCATCCTTAAGGAAGGTGTGTGCCCTGGGGCCCCACGGGAGGGGGCTCATGCTCTCTCCTTCAGCCTTGGTAAGCTTGCCTCGGCTGTGTGACAGGGTCTAGGACCTACCTGAGGAGGACCTGCGGTTAGCAGTGCAGCTCTTACCTGACAGTGACCACAAAGCAAGTGGAGGCCGTGAAAGTGGGTCTGGATCTTTTCAGGAGGATTCACAAGCTGAGGAAAAGGAGGAGGGTGGCGGGAGGTAAAGGGCTGATGAGGGTGTGAGGGTGGTCTCCCCCTGCACTGTGCTGCAGCAATCTCTGCCGTCAGACTGGATTGGAAGCCAGTCCTCAGCTTGTGGGGCTGGGGATGGTGCCCACATTGGAGAGGCTCCCCGTGTTGGTCCCCAGCACCTTTGTGGGGCTTTCCGGTCTGCATCTGTTTTACCCTTCTTAACACATGTCTCAACCTTGCTTGTCTCTTCTCTCTAACTAGCTTGTGTCTTACAGGTGAAGGGTTCTGTCTGTCTGTCCGCCATGCTTCTCTCTTCCTTCAGGAAAGTGCCATCGGCTTGTGTTCACCACGTGCAGTAGAGGCAGGACTGGAGAGGTCTAAGGGGTTGGGAAGCTTTCGTTGTCAGAGGGATTGTCTGCCGAGTTGTGGAGATGCCACATTCTGTGATGGCCTGAGGAGAACATGGTAGAACCGGGGTTTCTGTGCTTCCTTATCTGAAGCAGGAGGCTGCACGGAGCCGTCAGTTGTCTGCTGCTGAGTAACAAGTTCCCCGGGATGGTGTTGAGCAAATCACAGAGAATGAATCCTGCTAACAGCCACGAGAGCTTGAAAGCAGAGGTTGCCCCAGTCAGCCTCGGGTGAGACCCAGGTCCTGCCTTGGTGCTGTTGCTGCTGCTGCTGCTGCCTTGGGCGAGAAGTCAGCTAAGCCCGCCGAGACTGAGCAGACGTTGTGAGGTCACGGATGGGCACCATCCAAGGCCACTGTCCCGGGAAACTTGTTACTCAGCAGCAGACAACTAACAACTCAACTTCTGCTTTGTTCTCTTTACCGGCTGTCATCAAATTAAAGCTACCAAACCAGAGAGCCGTGCATGAAGGCCGAGGGCGGCGTGAGCAGAGAAGAACGCTGCTCTCGAGATGAATTAACTCAGTGACACGGGGTCACTCTGAGTTGGAATTAACTGGAGGCCACCTCAGACAACAGCATCTTATTACCAGGACACCCAAACAGACACACCGATTCTGACCAAAGGAAATTTCAGGTCTTGTCTCGGAAATAAAAATATGGAAGCAAGATTATGTAGCAAATTCTTGCATATTGAACCCAGCCATGAGTTATTTGTTCTAGAAATGTTTAACAGTCAAAAATTGAGTTGAAGAGGAAAGCAACAGTTTAATCCAGAAAAATCAACAGTCTTCCCAATAAAAACTCCTCAAATTTGATAAGTGCTGGGGAACACTAGAAAGTATTCACATGAAGAGTGTTACAGTAAACCTAATGTCATATTTCTGAATGGCGAAGCTAAATACTTCTTTGAATCTGGAATGAAGCAAAAACGAACACTTTAAAAATTACTTTTTGCCAAACCGTCACCATCATGGAGTCAGTTCAGCCTCGTGGCAAATTGTAGAGCAGAGTAGAACTGCCCTTCACTTCCCAGACTGGATCTGCCCGCAAGTAGCTGCACAAGCTGGGCAGCGGACGGGAAGGAGGGTGGAGAAGATTGATTGTATTTGAATGGTGGTGTTGGGCACAAGTATTGAGTAAAGCCCTACCAGATGAATGATGAATGAACAAGTGCTCCTTAGCCATGAGGATGGTGAGACGTATCAGTAGAAACCGGTCTCTTGGGAAAAGACATCACGCTTGGTAAAGGAGGTCGGAGACAAAGAGGAAGACCCTCAGTAGAGGGATTGACACTGGTTGCAAGAGTGAGCTGAACACAGCAGTGCTTTGTGAGGGTGGTGCCGGACTGACCGCTGAGTCAGACCAACTTCATGGCATCTCACAACATACTAAAATTAAACATTTGGATAATAAAACTTCACTTTGAGAAGATTTAAGAAATGAAATACTTACAAATTTAACAAAATATGTGCAAGATCTTAAAACGGACACTTATTTTCTGAGTAATTGAAGATGACCCCGAAAGGAGAAGTGTTGCATGTTCGTGGGTTGGAGAATTCAGTATGGTTATGAAGTCGTTTCTACACATTGGCCTGTAATTTCCCATTGCCATTCTCACCAGAACCTCTCAGGCTTGCTTATAGACTTTGAGGGCCAGATTTGGAGTTTTATGTGGACATAAATGTAACCAAAATGACCAAAGCAATTTAGAGAGAGAGAGAGAGAGTGTGTGTGTGTGTTGCCTTGTCGCTCTATATTTGACCAAGTGCAAGAAGTAATAGAGAGAGAGAGAGTGTGTGTGTTTTGTCAGTCTATAGTTGACCAAGTTCAAGAAGTAATGAAAGTTGCAGGAAAATTATCTCAACAAATTGCTGTGGAACAAGTAGCTTTGTGTTTCTTAGCACAGGCCATGCAGAAAAATTAGCTTGAAATTAATTAATTGTAGTACTAAATCTGAAAGCAAAGTGTATACAACTCCTTAAAAGGAAACAGAAGAAAATCTTCTTACCCATGGTGTCGGCCTAGATGTGTTCGGGCGAATGATAATCTCCGTAAATGCAAACAGGATCATGCGTGAGTGTCGACTTGATGCCAACTCAGCAATCCTGTTTCAGAAGCGGATAGAAGTGCCCGCGTGGTCTCTGAGGCTGTAACTGTACAGGAGTGAAAGCCTCGCATTTCTGTCCCCCGCCACTAGAGTTTGCACGTTGCATGTAACCAGTGCCTCCACCAGGACACCATGATCCATTTGTTTTTCAGCAATAGGAAGAACATTTGCTCTTCAGAAAACATAAGTAAATGTATAAAGGGAGATAGTAGATATTCTCAGTACCTGTAACTATGTTAATAATTTCCACATCAATGAAAAGCCGACAACCTGTCAAAAATGACAGAATATTCTAAAGGGAAGTATGTGAATTGCCAAGTCCCACCAGGGTCAGGGAGTTAGTTCTGACTCTTAACAATCCCCTACACCCCACAGGAGAGAGAATCTTAACAAGAGCAGGCAGCCTGGTCTTCCCCTCTGAGCAGTGGGTGGTTAGCAGCCTGATGCTGAGCACAGTGCTCCAGTTGAGGGATTGAAGGCCTGCTGAACCTGGTCGTCGTCGTCGTCGTCGTACGTTGCCATGGAGTTGACCGCGTCCGACACTCAGCTGTAATGCAGGGCGCCGATGCCTCATCCTGCCCGTCTCACAACCGCTAGTGTGCACAAGCCCATTGCCTCCACTGCCCTGCGGCTCTGTTTCTCTTCTCTGCCTGTCAACTTTGCCAAACAGGATGTCTCTCTCTACCTTTCCTGACGATGCGCCCAGTGTAAGCAAGGTCAAGGATGGCCATACCCCCTCTGACTGTAGTGCCTTCTACCGGTAGTGAGGTACTGCCATTCAAATCCCCAGTGATACACCCTGCGATCAGTGGCCCAGCTGAAATTAAAAAGACAGACAATAACAAAGCGGTGGATAGCACTGTGACCTAGAGTCAAGGTGAGCAACACAGCGATAATTTTCTTACCAAACTAAGGCATGTATCAAAAGACCCAGCGGCTGCATTTCTAGGTGTTTTCTCCCACTGAAGTGAAAAAGCAGTACACCAATACTCGGCTGTCTCACTCATAAACACCCGCCTGGAAATAATTGCCCCATGGATGGAAAACACCTGTGACATGTCCCAATGACGGGCCACTTCTCAGCATTACAAAGGGTTATACTGGGGTCTCTAGGTAGAGCAGGGGGTACCCCCTGCAACAACATGCGGGGTGAACACACTGCAGTGGGATGCTCTCATGAAGTGCCTGCCCTTGATAGTGACGGGGATCATCCTGGGGTGTCAAAGCCCGCAGAGGGAGTCTTCGTGGGGGGCGGGGGGAGGAAAGACTCCCTTGATGGCATTGGTGTCAGGTGGGTCAGCTCTTCCAAATCCATTAAACTGAGGACTTAATATTGCACATGAATAATGCCTTATTAAGATGATGCTAAAATAAAAACCAGCTGAGGGGCCGGCCCCAATCCCAACTACTTCATGGACACCTGCCCCTCCCCCCAGAAGAATTTATTTCAAAGGACGGCACGGAATCTGCAGCTCCGGGAGAGGGACATATCTGATCAGAGCACACAGGAGCAGATGAAG